TGTGGCCCTGGCTACCTCCTGGATGGATAGGGCGCTGTACCCTGGGCTTTCCCTGGATGCAAGGGAGTTGGCATAAAGAAATACCGAAGCCTGCAAATTATCCCTATCTACTTCATCGCTGGACACGGTCAGTCTTCCACTGGTATGATCACCTGTTAAGTATTTTCGTGCCTCAACTGGGAATAGAAGACATAATATGGCATGTAGAGGCCCTCACAAACTATACCACAAAAGCCCTTAATGATTCTATGCGGGGACTGTCGCTGTTAAATTCTGAAGTTACATTAATGAGAAAGGCTGTATTACAAAACAGGATGGCCTTAGACATACTCACAGCAGCTCAGGGAGGAACCTGTGCTATCGTTAAAACTGAATGCTGCGTATACATCCCAGATAGCTCAGCTAACATATCCGACGTTTTGGCTGACATGCGCACCCAAATTGAAGCAATGTCTGACGCCTCTGGTTCCCTCAATGATTGGATTTCTTCCTGGTCTAGTGGAGGTATATGGGCTTGGTGGAAAAAACTTCTTTTACTAGCAATAGCAGTAGTTATGCTAGCGTTTTTTCTCTGCTGTGGGGGCTACTGTTGTTGCATGCTCTGCATGAATATGTCAGAAAAATTATCAGAACGGGTGCTCTTTAGGAGCCATTTTATTCCCAGGTTGAAGCCTCACGTACACCTTTGACAATCCACAACTAGGGGCCCTTCATTTAATTGGGATTTTTATACCTCCCAGTAGGTAGGGTCTTCGATCCCTTTCAGCCTGAAGAAGCTACAGAAGACGAGACCTTCACCCTTCAACACCCCTTAAGAATAAGGAGGATAAAAATCCCATAGCAGGCAATGAGACAGGGAAACCGAAGGGATACCATGAGAAAAAAGTTGGTTTTCTTTTTCATTTTGCTTCTTTTCGGGCTTCTGTTCTTGCTAGGACCTGCCCTGCCTTAATGTATGTCCTCCTTGTAAGGCACAGAGTTAATGATTTCTTTGGAGTCTTCTAGCACAATACATAACATCTAAGGAGTGACCAGGCGAGGCCATTATGTGCATATGCCAGACCACTGTCACTGAACACCTTGATGCCAAGACCCCCCCGGCTCCATGGAATAAGTGATTTATGCTGGTCGCCTAGACCCTGTCTTCGTTCTGACCGGTTTGGGGATGCCTGAGAAGACATGTGCACCAGATCCCAGTCGTCAATAAAACCCAAGGCCCCAAGCAAAGACCCTCTCTTTTCCTTTCTGAGTCTCGCAGACACTCCGTGTGTATCTGCTCTCTCTCTCTCTCCCTTCAATAAACTCTGCTTTCACCTCCTGCTGGCTTGTGTTTGATTTCCATCCTGTGTGAAGCCAGGGACCCTCTTGGCTTATCCTGTGGGACCCCTTCTGGGTCCTCAGGCCCAGGCTGCCTGCATTAATATGAACTTATACATAAAAAAATCCTGAAGACTCCACCAAACACCACTAGCGCTAACTAATCAACCAATTTGGTAAAGTTGCAGGAAACAGAAACCAACATAGAGAAAACAGCTGCATTTCTATACACTAGGAACAAAGCATCCGAAAACAATAAGGAAAACAATCCCATTTACATTAATATCCAAAACAATAAAATACTAAAGAATAAATTTAACCAAGTGGATGAAAGATCTGTACACCGGTAAGATTTTGATGAACGAAACTGCAGAAGACACAAATGAAAAAATACCCCTAATTAGTCAGAAGAAATAACATTGTTAAAATGTCCTATTACCAAAAGCCATCTATAGATGCAATGTCATCCCTGTCAAAATTCCAATGGCATTTTTTACAGAAATAGAAAAACCAATCCTAAAACTTGTATAGAGACACAAAAGATCCTGAATAGCCAAAGCAATCTTGAGAGAGAACAACAAAGCTGGAGGCATTACACTTCCTGATTTCAAACTATACTTCAAAGCTACAATAATCAAAACCATATGGTACTGGCATAAAAACAGACACATAGGCCAATGGAACAGAATCAAGAGCACAGAAGTAGATCCCTATATATTTGACAAGGGAGCCAAGAATATTCAATGCAGAAAGGTTAGTACTTCAAAAAATGGTGCTGGGAAACCAGATAATCACAATGCAGAATGAAATTGGATCCTACCTTATGTCACTCACAAAAGTGAACTTAAAATGGATGAAAGACTTAAATTTAAGACTTGAACCATAACACTCATAGAAGAAACATGGAGGGGCATCTGGGTGGCCCCGTTGGATAAGCGTCCGACCTCGGCTCAGGTCATGATCTCACGGTTTGTGAGTTCGAGCCCCGAACTGGGCTCTGCACTAACAGCGTGGAGCCTGCTTGGGATTCTCTCTCTCTTCCTCTCTCTCTGCCCCTCCCCTGCTCCCTCTCACTCTCTCTCTGAAAAATAAAGAAACTTAAAAAATACGTATATGGAGAAAATCTCCTTGACATTGGTCGTGGCAGTGATTTCCTGGATATGATGCCAAAAGCAAAAGGAACAAAAGCAAAAATAAATGAGACTCCATCAGAGCTGAGTTTGCTTACTTATTTGTTTACTGACTTGGTTGGAATATTTTATTGACGTTTATTTCTCTCCAGTGTGCAACCTCTGATGTATCTTAGAGGGCACAGTCTTGCGTGGACAGTCACTCCTCGATGACACAGGTTTTAGCACGGTTCTCCTTAATGGTGTCTTTCTCTGACCCCTCTGCTAAGCTTTCTGCTCCTGTTGGTATCACAACCACATGTTAGACTCTACTGATTGACAGGTGATTGCTCTATTGTTTTTAACAACATCCTGAGGCATAAATTGTACCAGTCTGATCCCATTGAATTTTGAATCCTTTACAGAAGTCATTTTTGAGGCCAGTCTTTGAAACATGTTTCAACCCCAGCAAGACTTTTCTTAGCTGTCTCTTTCTCTGTTTCTTTGGGAAACGAGGTGGCTTCTGGTTTAGCTAGTTGCTCATATGAAGTTAATTGCCTCCTCTTAATCGTCTATCATTAAAATCTCCATTGTTTTAGAGAACCCCATCAGGCTTGCACTTTCCCACGTTCCATTTTTTTTTAATGTTTGAGAGAGAGAGAGAGAGAGAGAGAGAGACTCTCCCCCCAGTAACCTCTGGTTGGGGACAAGAACGTCTAGTGTTCTCAGCTTGCCTCTCCCAGTGAGGAACTGCCACTCCATGAGCAAACCGGGGCGAGGGCAGTGGGGACCCAGTATATTCAGCCTGCTGAGAGCAGGTAGCGTATTTGGAGCCGAGGCCTGCCTGAGAGTGGAGGCTAGGTGGAAGAAGGGAGCCTCTGACTTCTTGCCAGCAATATTCTGGAAGTTCGCATCTGCAACAAAGAGCTAAAGGATATGAGAAAAACTGGCCACCTACACTTTCTGTAGAGACACTGTAGCCCTTGACTGGAAGTTAGAGGGGAAGGTAACCCCATCTCCTAGGTCACGCTCAGATGAACTGAAGCTTCTGTCACGTTGATCTGGGGGCAAGGGGAGGCAGAGAGCACGTCATGGCTCAAGTGACAGAGACGGTTCTTACTGGGATTTAGTAGCCTTTCTTGAATCTTATTTTTTTTTTTTTTTTTCTGACTTGATGTATTACCTTAGGACTGTCTTCAGATACCTTAAATCTTTTTTAAAACATTTGTTTATTTTGAGACAGAGAGAGAGAATGAGCAGGGGAGGGACAGGGAGAGAGAGAATCCCGAGCAGGCTCCACACTGTCAGCGCAGACGCAGGCTTGACCCCACAAACCGTGAGATCACGACCTGAGACGAAATCAGGAGTAAGACACTTAACAGACGCCCCTAAATATTTTTGTTCCTAAGATAATTTTCACTAGTTATGGTTTTTCTGCTGGGGATGGTTCCATGGAGCTCCCTATGCTGCCATTCCAAAAGTGATCATATCCACTCAATTTTCTTAAGGTTAGAGGTTGTCAGTAAAATAACATTAATATATAAACGAATCATTAACTTTACCTGTATATTTGAAATTTTACTGATTACTAACAATTAGGCACTGGGGTACATATCAGTCACATAAGTAAATAAATTCAGACTTTTGTGTTTTCTAAATTTTAATACCTATTTTTATATTAAAATGGAACTTTAGGTCTTTATTTTTTATCACATATTTGAAATCATTAAAGTTCTCTTAAAATTATTTTTAGGTTATTACAAATATTAATTTTATAAATGAAGTCTTTGGATTTCAGTTCTGGGAATGAATACTTAATTAAAACTTGAGAAATTCTTACTTAACTCTAGCTTTTTCTTAAACAGATGCACACTACCACCACTATCATCGACAGAAATCTGCTAATCCAAACAGCTGGAACTGATTTATATTTAACCAAGCTGACATTACTATGTGAAAACTAGATATCTTCTCCATGGCATTTATTTTGACACTCAAAATCAAATTATTAATATAGATGTGTGATCTTTAAAAAAAACAAAGAATATCATCTAGGCAATTCTATATCATGACTTCTTTTCTACCTATAATAAGATGTTTTAATTTCACTGGATATAAAAAAGACTTAGGTAAGGACCCGAACATCTACAACATCAGCATGTGAGGTGATCAAAGAGTAATCAAGACACTTCAAACCGACTTCAAAACGTTTAATTATTTATTCAATACTTTTAGCAGAAAAGTATCATGTAAAATGTCGTTTCTAAACACCGTGGCACGGCGTCAGCATGAAAGTGACCCCTAGGTTAAGAGTCTGTGCCTGTACCTGTCCGTGTGCTAGCAGATAGGACCAGAACAGACAGTCCACGCACTCACCTGAGAACTCTTACTCTCCCACCCAACCCCACATAAGAAAAAAAGTTAACCTGATTCTAAACTTAACGACATTTGATAAAAAAATGAACATGGCTTGGATTTTGGCAGAACTCAGCTAACAGCAGAGAATTCAGCTAAAGTATGCTGAGTTAGAGCACTTAAAACAAGAACATTAGATGCTTTGATTTTTCAACTTACCTGATATAAATAGTCTTCAAATACAAAATAATAATCATCATTGCTTGCTGTCAACTTCACATCCTATAATTAAAGGTAGAGAGTCTTGAAAAGAACCTAAAGGTATAGGTCTATAGTACTATGATATAAATGCAATATCTAGAAACAATACTGTAATGATCTTACTTATGTATGATGATAAATGTCTCACTCAGATTTCATCATTGCTATAAATATACTTTATATGTACTTTATAAGTAATTTATACTTATAAGTATATAAGTATACTTTATATACTTTATACATATACTAATATATGTGACACATAATTACACCTCAAATTGCTTACAACCTTTTAGGTTCCATTAGTAATTCCTTATTATTTATTTCAATATTTATCTTCTTTAAATCTAATATTTAATCTTATTTAAATCTAGTATTTAAGTGTCTTAATGTTGGAAAAACAGATACAATCATAACATCCAGAAGTAATCATAACAATCTGGCCCGAAATTAGTTCCCAAATCATCCTCTACTGTTCAAGTTTACATTCTTGACATTCCCTTGAAATACCAAACATCTTCCACCCCTTTGTGATTATTCATTTGCAAGTCATTGCATATTACCCACCAAACAAATGTTTATCTTCAAGAAGTCTATAGTCTTACCAGCAAGAATACACACACAGTAAAAATATGGGAACAGTTACAAAGAAATATTAAAGAAATCCAAGATAATATTGCTCAGTCTACAAATTTCAACCAGGCTGTTGAGCAAAGGATCCATTAAGGGAGGAGGAAATGGGTCATGGATGCCTCTGGAAGGCGTGAATGCGCTCTAAGTCTAGAAAAAGTTAATTATAAAGACACAAATTAAGAGGAAAGAAAGAGGCTAGTCTTCTAAGTCAGAAGACAACATGGGCAGAGGGGATGATATTGCCCCTAAGGGGGTGAGAATTAGTTCTCGGAAGCCAAAAAGTTTTACATATTATAATGGTTTATGGACCTCCAAAGCTTGTCTCTGTCCAACAAAATTTTATTCTTTGGTATTTAATTTTTTTATATTAGAGCAAAATTAATGTTTTCTCTTTAGGGAGTTGATGATGAAGAAAAGGTTGAGAAACACTGCTATAAACTGGTATAGTAAATGATGGAAAACTATAGAAGGTGTGGCTACCACACAACTTTTGTGGGAAAAAAAATATAGTCCAGAGAGAACCATTTAATAATTTAGCTTAGGGAAGGTTTGATGATGTTCCAAATTTAGTGCTGCCTTGTTCCATTCATTCCTTTAACCACTAACATAATCTTACTTTATTTTCTGATAGATTAAAAATTAGTGTTTGCCATATGAAACTGTCATGAAATTTCAAATAATTATCTTAAATGCCCACTCCCTTAAAAGCTGACTTTAATAACATTTGGAGTTGCTCCAACGAGATCGGCAAAGCTCAACACATACAAGTCAGAACAACCAGAGACAGGTATCTTCCTAAAAATATTCATGCTGTGGACAGTCAGGATTGATTCTACCAAAACTTACATCCATTTCTGATACAAACTGTTTACCTCTTTCTCACAACAGATTTTCTTTACTGATTCAAACTGAAACTCATGTTGGCAGCAAAGAGAATCCTCAGCTAGCACTCCCTGATTTTCTGAACTTCTTCCCTTTTTGGGCTTCTTTCATTTGAACAGAAAAGAGGTTGAAAGGTCTTAAAGCCCAAAAGATCTCTTACGCTGTTGCTAAAATAATCCCCTGAGCATGACTCTTTGACCTTAAACTTAACAATAGTACCTGTGATCCAAATCTACGTAAAACTTCTGAGAGAGTCAAGACTTTGCTTCCTGTAGAGAATAGTGATTTAAAAAGTATGGTTGTGAAGTCAGATCACCTCCATTCAAATCTTAGCTTTGCTACTTAATACGGGAATTTAATTAATTTCCCTAATCTTTCTTCACTTCCTTCATCTATAAAACAGTAAAATAACAGTACTTCCTGTTTTGCTATAACGCGTGTCAACAGGTGGCTGGTGGGTAAGGGAACGCTGTCTGTTACAACACGGAAATTGTGGTGGTTCACATGCAACTTTTCTTTTAAACAGGGGAGCCAGGATGGCCAGAGTAGAATTACAGCCTTCAGCCAGAAGGGAAAAATGCCTTCAGCTCAACTGCTGTATAGGCATGAGCCCTCATAATCGTATTTCCAGAAAATTCAAAACGAATGATTATATGAGGGGATCCCTCTGCAGAGAGCCATACCCCTGGCCCTGCACGTCCCTTAGCTGCTAGACCCCCTCTTGTGCCCACCTTCACAGCAGCCCCGGGGCCCAGCACACCACTTCCATCTGCATTAGTTTAGCATTTCTACTTTATTATATTTGTACATTTTCAATAGCTTCTCTAGGAGCAGCCTGTCTGAGTTGTCTAATCCATCTTCCAAACTAGCAGTAATTGTTTTTGTTAGTACTCTGGTTACAAAGTTGCAAAATTACCTCAATCCTATTTTTAGCTCTATCATCTTTAATGCATGATTTTACAGAATGTAAGGCTTTTTCCCCGGGGCCGGGGGGAATGCATTTATCTAAAAATGATACCTAAGTGCTGGCATCTGCGACTGTTAAGGGTAGTTTTTGGATCCTAAACAATTTACATAAAGAGTTTGGAACACCGTATGGCACATAGTAAACAGTCATTAAATGCTAGTAGCTACTATTTTTATTAACCTTGGTCACGTTCCACCCACAAAAATCTTCAGACACTCCATGTGTAACTTTCTCTCCCCCATTCCTGAGAGATGAACTAATATGCCCTCCTTCTCTATCTTACAAGTTCTAAATTAAAAATACACAAGTCTTTTAAATAGCCCAATTATTAATCCAGAATCAGTCATATCCTATATCATGCTAATACCTCTACATCTCAACCCTCAACTCGGTATCAGATGCTTGGACACAAAAACTCAGTGTATCCCTATCATGAAACTTGAGATGTGCTTAACCACATGGCTAGAAACTACAAAAAATTAAAAATGAAAAATGACTTCAATACAAGAGAATAAACAAGTAGGCCCTAAAGAATCAGGATAATAAGATAAAAATATCAGTCTGATTTTGACTCTGAAAAATATAGTCTGATTTTCCTTTCAGTTGCATTTTTTTTTTTTAATTTTTTTTTTCAACGTTTATTTATTTTTGGGACAGAGAGAGACAGAGCATGAACGGGGGAGGGGCAGAGAGAGAGGGAGACACAGAATCGGAAACAGGATCCAGGCTCCGAGCCATCAGCCCAGAGCCTGACGCGGGGCTCGAACTCACAGACCGTGAGATCGTGACCTGGCTGAAGTCGGACGCTTAACCGACTGCGCCACCCAGGCGCCCCCTTTTCAGTTGCATTTTTATTGGTCTCTGTGGATAACTTGAATTTATAGGAATAAGAAATGTTACCATTCTTTTAATCAAAAAAATCAGAGTACCAGGAAAGTATCATGAGGACAACTTCAAAAGGAAAGAGGATAATATTTACTGGAGACTACAAATTTTGAAGATGAACCTTAAATTTACAAGTACAATGACCACTTACAATTATTTTTCAAGGTTAATCTATATTATCATACAAAATACAGGCCCTGCATGTTCAAGACTCTCAGTAATTGTTAAATGGTATTTCTGAAATGAAAAAACTATACACTTTTACTTACTTTATAGATTAGACTATCCACCAAAAGGTCATGTTGTATCACATTGGTCTTGAGCTGCTCATAATATAAGATATCCTAGATTTAAAAGTAAAACAAACAAATAAAATTAAAGGTCAATCACATTTATAGAGTCAGCCTCAAATTTTAATAAGTAATAATCATTAACAGTATTATGAACTCTAAGAGGACTTTATTTTATTCACTACATTCTCCATGCCTAGCTAATGAGACACTTAATAAATATACTTAATCCCATCACTTAGGATAAGATCTGAGCACCTGGTGGGTATTCAATCAATGCTTCCTAAATTAATTAGCTGTAATTTAACTTTAATGGCAAATATTTATTAATTACTAGGTGCCAGAAACTGTTTACCCACCATACATGAGTTAACTCATTTAATCCCATACCAACAAAATAAAATAGTTCACTGATTACTATTCCAATTTTAAAAATTATTATCCCCATTCATATTTGAGAAACAGACACAGAGAAAAAAGTAACTTGCTGTCCAAGGCCACAAAAGCAAGCCACACAAAACTTGCTGTCCAAGGCCACAAGTCCTTCAAAAACCCAGAAGGACTACTCTGTACTGTTGTTCTAGTACCTAAATCATCATAAAATAAAAAGGTTAAACATAATAAATCATCTCTGCTAGTAAATACAATCACAGAGCATACGAAAGAAGTCAGTTTTTTTAATATTAGAATATGGTTCCATAACACTATAAAATCTGATTAACTGTATACAGTGAAAAGATTAGGCTAATGTTTAAGTTAATAGAGAATAAGACATAGAAAAAAGAGAGGGAAGATGGAAAGTAGAGAAAAAGATAGGAAAGGAAAAATATGAAAGGAGGGAGGAAGGGAAAAAAGGAGGAGGGGCTTGAAACTGTAATCCAGTTAAGCATCAGGTTAATAGTTGGTCAGGACATTCATTAAAAGAAGAAGAAGAAGAAGCAGCAGCAGCAGCAGCAGCAGCAGCAGCAGCAGGAGGAGGAGGAGGAGAAGGAGAAGAAGAGGAAGAAGAAGAAGAAGAAGAAGAAGAAGAAGAAGAAGAAGAAGAAGAAGAAGAAGAAGAAGAATGAAGGTAAGGATCAAGTGGCAGTAGTTGTCTTAAAGACAGATGGAAATAGCAACTCATTGTTTTAGCTGACCCTTACGTTCCTCCAAATCCCTCCAGTCATCTCTTAGGCACTTTAGTCTTAGTTTCTGCCCATATCCAAACACTGCTTGGCTCCACTAGTACACGCCAATCTGTATGAATCTTTCTGAAGATATTCCCTCAGACGGGTAAGAGCTGTGGGACAGGGTTGCTCGGGACAAAGAGTATCTATTGCGTGCACCTGCCTTGCACACAATAGGTGTGTGTGCACATATGTTTCCTGAAATATGAAATATGATTTTTTTTTTTTGAGAGAGAGTAAGCAAGCTGGGGAGTGGGGCAAAGGAAAAGGGAGAGAGAGAGAATCTCAAGTAGACTCCACCCTCAGCAGAGAACCAGACACAGGGGTCTGTCCCACAACCTTGGGATCATGGCCTGACCCAAAATCAAGAGTCAGACACTCAACTGATTGAGCCACCCAGGCGCCCCTGAAATTAATTTCTTAATCTTGAAAGATGCTTAATACAGAGTGCTCTGATTTGTGTGAAAGTGCTCTTTGCCTAAAGATAATCTGGAGATTTACTAGCTACTTTTAGTCATTTTAATTTTAATTTTAAAAAAAGTCTTACTTTGCTCTTATTTATGATGTTTTGATTTCTTAACTAAGGCAAAATTATTTTATTATTTTAACTTCCATTGTACCTATTGAATCCATTTCTCTCACTAAAATAAAAGAACATTCTTAAAGATAGGAATAGTACCTAATTCAAATACCAACCCTTGACAACTGGCAAAGAGCCTAGCATTATACTCTAATATTTCCTAGCAACGGGGGTGGAAAAGCTAAGAAATTCAGAGTTATGCCTCTTTTAAAAAATAAAATAAATAAAAAATCACAAACCGATATATGACTGTTAAAAAAAAGTGAAACAATCTACAGCTGGATAAAGAAAAAGTTTAATAATCCTTTCTTTTCCCATTCTGCTTTCCCAAAGAAAAGAATGTTATTTGTGTTGTATTTATAACATTATTTGTAATTTGTATTCTTCCATAGCTTTCTCCACATTTGTACAAATATATAATTATATGTAAGGGTTTTGGTTGTCATTTTTTAACATAAACTGGAATCATACTATACTCATTCAGCTTCTCTAACTTAGACATATCATGGTCATCCCTCTATGTCAGCAAGTATACATCTGTCTTCCTTCTTAATAGCTAAATACACTGTAATATTTTTAAAGCTGTGCCATAGACCGACCATAATTTATTTAATCTTTCTCCTGTAGATGAATACTGAAGTTGCTTGCCACCACAAATAACACTGTAATAAATATCCTTATGCACATGTGCTTTCGTATCTATGGAATACATTGACAAAGAAAGGATTATAGGCTGAGGGTTATACAGAACTTTAGCTGGACTATAGTTTGCCCAACCATTTTCCAAAAATCATCAATTCAGATTCCCACCAGCCACACATGAATGCACAAGTTTACCTATATCCTCACCTCTTTTAAATTTCTCACGGATGAAAAATGGGTGTCTTATTGTTGTGTTAATTTGCACTTTCCCAAATAACAATAAAGGTGAACATCCTCTCATCTGTTTACTGGGCATCTGAATTTCTACTTCAATGATTTGCCTTTCATAACATTTTTCTATTAGGTTATAGCTGTTTTATTAATTTGTCAGTCTATTTATAATGAGGATTAATGCTTTGTCATTTGAATTACAAATACTTTTTCTTCAAAAAAAAGTGTTTGATTCTTGTTTATGGTATACATTGACAACTTTTTAAAAATTCCCTATAGCTTTGGGGTTTTTTGTTTGTTTGTTTGTTTGTTTTTTGCTTAGGCAAGGCTATCTTACCATATGTTTATACAAATATTTTTCTATCTTTTCTAAAATTACTATTTTTATTTAAATATTTATAATCTACTTGTAACTTATCTTTACACATAAGCAAAAGGTCTGTTTTCTTTCAGAAAGATGGTTAATTATCAGCATCATTTATTCAATAAACCATAAATCCCCAACTGAAATAAAACTTTATTACTTCTCTATCAGAAATGGACAGATTCGGCAGGTAGAAAACCAACAAGGATAAAGTTGAATACAACAACACCATCCATTAGCTGGATATAATAGACATCTATACACTACCTCATCCAACAACAGCAGAATGGAAATGCTTCTCAAGCTAACATGGGACATTCACCAAGACAGACCACATTCTGGGTCATAAGACACCCTTAACAAATTTAAAAGAATAAAAATCACACAATGTCTGCTCTTAGATCACAATGCAATTAAACTAGAAATCAGTAACAGAAAGACAACTGAAAAATGACCAAATACTTAGACAACATATTTCTAATAACACATGGGTCAAATAAGAGCTCTCAAGATAAATTTAAAATATTTTGAACTAAATGAAAATGAAAATGCAACTTATGAAAATTTGTGGGATGCACGAAAGTAGTGCTTAAAGATAAATTTATAGCACTGAATGAATAGATTAGAAAACAAGAAAAATCTAAAAACAATAATTTTAGTTCCCACCTTAGGAAACTAGAAAAAGAAGAGCAAATTAAATCCAAAGTAAGCAGAAAAAAGTAATCATAATATTTAGAGCAAAAATAAATGAAATTGAAAACAGAAGATCAATAGAGAAAAATCATCAAAACCAAAGCTGGTTTTTTGAAAAGATTAGTAAAACTGATGAGCCTCTAGCCAGATTAATAAGGAAAAAAGAGAGAGGACACAAACTGCTAATATTGGAAATGAAAGTGGGAATATCACTGCAGATCCTTGGATGTTAAAAGGATAATAAAGTGGTACTATAAACAACTGGATACCCACAGATTTTATAACCTAGGTGAAATGGACCAATTACATGAAGAACACAGTTTGCCAAAATTCACACAAAAAAGAAACAGACAATCTTGAATAGGCCTATATCTATTAGTTGATACAATAATTCATAACCTTCCAAAACAGACAGTACTAAGCCCAGAGGGGTTCACTACCAACCATTTAAGAAAGACATTTGAGGGGCGCCTGGGTGGCTCAGTCTGTTGAGCGTCCAACTTCGGCTCAGGTCATGATCTCCCGGTCCGTGAGTTCGAGCCCCGCGTCGGGCTCTGGGCTGACAGCTCAGAGCCTGGAGCCTGTTTCAGATTCTGTGTCTCCCTCTCTCTCTGACCCTCCCCCGTTCATGCTCTGTCTCTCTCTGCCTCAAAAATAAATAAACGTTAAAAAAAAAAAGATTAAAAAAAAAAA